GGAATTTTTAAATAACAAAAAATCAGATTTCCAAGGACAAAAAAATTTAGTTTTTTTATGAATTTTTAAAAGGATAATAGATGGACATGTTTTAAGGAATTAAAGAACTTTAAAAAGTGACTCCTTGAAGAAGTTTTCTAACTGCCTTAAAGGACTATGAAATGGAATTTATTCAAGGGTGCTGAAGGATTATTTACTTGGATTGTTTTAGGAAATTCCAATAATCCATAATTGATCTTTATGGAATTATTTTGGAAAATGGTGAATGGAATATAAATGAAAATTTATAAAATATGTAGATATGCATAAGGGACACAAATTTTAATTTTTGGAGCATTTTTTAAAACTCTTGTAAGTTTACACGATTATACAATATTAGAGTGTTTTTCTTAAACACCTAAAGGAAAATTGTTTCGGTCATTTTCGAAAGACGGATAAAAAGAAAGACTGATAAAGGACAAATAATGGGAGAGAGAGAGAGAGAGTGAGAAAGGGTTTAGAGAGTTTCTCAAAGAATCCTAAGAATGCCAATATTGAGTTTTTAAGAAATTTTCAAAGGATCTTAAACGACAATTAATGAAGGCTTTTAAAATATGTTTTTAAAAATGTCAAGGGATTTTTAAGAAATTTTGGAAATGCCCTTACGTGTTAATGCGAATAAGTAGGAATTTTGCAGAGAAGTTTAAAATATCAAAATTACAATATTTTGAATTTTTAAAATATTTTTGAAGGACAGCCTCGTAACTGATGTCGATTTCGTTAGGAGTTTTTCCGGACCATCTGAGCCTGATAACAGAAAAACACCAGCACAAACCGACCCGAATTTTGGCACTTCCGACCGAATTCAGCCTAGAAGCGTGTACATTAAATTTGATGAAAATTCGTTTCAGATATAATCATAGCCCCATATTTAAGTTTCATCCGATTTGATATACCTACAGCTCCCATATATATTTTCCATCCGATTTCGTGTTAAAGTCCCTCGCATGCGTAATATCCATAACCTTTGGTACCAGATATCAGATACAGCTCAGAAATAACTGCCTAACTGCCAAATTTTATCAAGATCGCTTAAGATTTTTATATATTTTCGATATACATCTTCATCCGATTTCACGGTTATTGTCCAATATGGGTAATATCAACCCAAATTACATACTTTTTATACCCTTCACCATATTATGGAGGGTATATTAAGTTTGTCAATGCGTTTGTAACACCTCGAAATATACATTTTAGACCCCACAAAGTGAATATATTCTTGATCAGCATAAAATTCTATGTCGATTCAGCGATTTCCGTCCTTCTGTGGAAATCACACTAGCTTCCGAACAAAATGAAGTAGGTTGATAAAATTTTACTCAAATGTGTATTATGTCTGCAGCACCTTTGGTATTGAAAATGGGCCATGTAGGTCCACGTCTTCGTATAGCCTCCATATAACGGTTCCTCCCGATATTCGGTATTTTGATTATTTTAGAGACATTATTTACCGAAATTGTTTCAAATTTGGTATTTGAAGTTCGTAAGAGATACTACAGCATAAAACAGAAAATGGGCCATGTAGGTTCACGTCTTTGTATAGCCCCCCTATATGACGGTACCTCCCAATATTCGGTATTTTGATGATTTTAGAGACATTATTTACCGGAACTATTTCAAATTTAGTATTTGAAGTTCGTAACGGATGCCACAGCCTAAACAGAAAATGAGCCATGTAGGTCCGCGACCTCGTATAGCCTTCATATAACGGTACCTCCCAATATTCGGTATTTTGATGATTTTAGAGACAATTTTTACCGCAACTATTTCAAATTTAGAAATTGAAGTTCGTAATGAATACTACAGCCTATGATAGAAAATTGTCAGTGCAGGTCCACGTCTTCGTATAGCCCCCATATAACGTTACCCTCCATATTCGGTATTTTGATGATTTTAGCGGCATTATTTACCGGAACTATTTCAAATTTGGTATTTGGAATTCGTAATGGATACTGCAGCCTATGACAGAAAATTGTCAGTGCAGGTTCACATCTTCGTATAGCCCCCATATAACGGAACCCCCGATATTCGGTTTTTGATGATTTTAGCGACATTATTTATCGGAATTTCGTATTTAAAGTTCGTAATGGATACTACAGCCTATGACAGAAAATTGTCTGTGCAGGCCCACGTTTTATAACCTTCATGGTACCTCTCTATATACGGTACTCTGATGATTTTAGCTACATTATACACAGATATTTTTCAAGTTTCGCATTTGAATATTGTAATAGCTTGTGACAAAAGTCGTTTATGCAGGTCCACGTCGTCGTATAGACCCTAATGTAACAGCTACATCCGGTATTTTAAAGATTTTAACAGAATTTTTAACGGATTTTATTGTTTTGAAAATTGTTAAATTTGTACCAAATGGTGGAGGGTATTCAAAGTTCGGCCCGGCCGAACTTACAGTTTTTTTTACTTGTTTTGGTATTAATATTGTTGTATTTCCCCTCCCATACTTCTTTCCGTATGCATCAGTTTCAGCTTTATAGTTCGTGTGACGCCATTATTCATTCTCTCTCGCTCACTCGTATTTATATCTACGATTCCCTTTACTTTACAGGCATTCGTTTGTATGTGTTTCGAAAAATTGACGTGCTTGCCATTCTGTTGAAATATTTTAGAATAATCTGATAACTTCCAAGTATAGAAGAAGAGCTAACAAGTAAAAAAACTGTAAGTTAAGCCGGGCCGAACTTTTAATACCCTCCACCATTCGGTACAAATTTGGCAATTTTCAAAAAAAAAAATCCGTTAAAATTTCTGTTAAAATCTTAGAAATACCGAATGCCTATACGACGACCTGCATAGGCAACTTTTGTCATAAGTTATTACAATATTTAAATTCGAAACTTGAAGAAAAATCTGTTTATAATGTAGCTAAAATCATCAAAATACCGAATATCGGGGGGTACCGTTATATGGGGGCTATACGAAGACGTGGACCTGCACAGATAATTTTCTGTCTTAGGCTGTAGTATCCATTTCGAACTTCAAATGCCAAATTTGAAACAATTCCGGTGAACCACACTATGGTGGAGGGTAAAAAAGAAGCTGGCCTGGCATTCCGACAGCTAATAAAAGAAATAGTGCACAACGATTGAGTGATTACCTCGGATACCACACATACAAGCTGGCAGACCATAAACAGGATAATTGTGAGTCCGAGGATATTTTAGACTATCCTTTTGGCAACTTGGTCGATACAGCAGTGGAAGAAATTAGGAATCTAAGATCGTTCTGTTGAACGAATTTAAAGCAGACGGGTCTATCATCGAGGCACACCGATGGAAGGGAAATGGATTCGATGATCCAGACTTGGTCGGATCATCTATAGCAAGAAGGGCACCGAAGGAGTCTTGTGGCATCGATAAAGTCCCTGATATTCCTGTAAAGAAGTCTGGTGAAAGACGATGGTATTTTTCTTTACCATACTGTTTAATCACTGCCTCAACATCGGTTATTTCCCAATAGTCTGGTGTCAAATTCTAAGCCCGGAAGAGATGCAACCCTGAGGGGGGGCTATAGACCGATTTCCCTGTTGTCGCCCTTTTTCGAACACTTCCAACTGCGCCGATTCAACCGGATCATCGAAGAGAAGAGGATACAATAGGACTGTCAATCAATAATGGTCTGGGCTTCGCCAAAGCTTTTGATACGGTATGGCAACATGGCATTTTTATACCCTACACCACAAGGAGGTCAGGGTATTATGTCTTTGTGCATTGGTTTGTAACAGGCAAAAGGAAACGAGATGGACCCATAGTTCCTTTTGATGATCTGCATAGAATCACATTCTGAGTCGCTTTATGCATGTCCGTCCGTCCGTCTGTCCATGTATTTTTGTAAACAAAGTACAGTTCGCATTTATTGCCCTATCCAGATGAAATTTTGCACAAAACATTTGTTTGGCCCAAGGACGAACCCTATTGGAATTGGAGATAATCGGTAAAAATTTAGATATAGCTCCCATATATATCTTCGTCCGATTTGCCTTTTACTGTGCACCAAACGTGTAATATCAGCCCGAATAGTATGGAATTTTGCACGTACGATCAGATTGGACCAGAAAATGAGTATGCCAAATTTGATCGAAATCGGTTCAGATATAGCTATAGCTCCCATATATATTGTTCGTCCGATTTGTTATTTTTGTCCTCCGCAGCCGTAATATGCACTCTGTAACAACAATATTTGGGGAAATATATCAAATACAGCTCAGAAATACCTTTGCTAAATTTTATCGAGATCGGTTCAGATTTGGATATAGCTCCCATATATAACTTCGTCCGATTTACCATTTATTGTACACCAAACGTGTAATATTTGCCCAAATGGGATGGAATTTGGCACATGCGACCGATTTGAGTCTAGAAGCTAGTATGCCAAATATGGTGAAGATCGGTTCAGATATAGCTATAGCTCCCATATATACTGTTCATCCGATTTGTTATATTTGTTACCCACAGCCGTAATATGCACTCCGTAACAATGATATTCAGGGAAATATATCAAATACAGCTCAGAAATATATTTGCCAAATTTTATCGAGATCGGTTAGCTCCCATATATATCTTTATCCGATTTTAAATTAATTGTGCACCAAATGGGCAATACAAGTCCGAATTTAAAAGATACAAATGCTTCGGCATATTTATTCCTTTGAACTTTAAATTAGAATTATAATCATAGGGTGTATGATTGAATTCTCCCATAAAAACTTTTAATTCTTATGCGGAGCTCTACTAAATTAGCAAAGTGGAGTAGGGTATCATAAAGTCGGCCCCGCTCGACTTTAAGACTTTCTTTACTGGCAACGGGGAATTTCGAACAGGGAATAAAAAAGCCTCTACATAGGATAAGTACCCAAATTACCTAAAGGAATTTCCCCTTCCCAGAAATGTGAAGTAAAAACAAAAACGCAATTATTTTTTTTTTTTTAATATTTATGGAACACATTTATAGTATTTTTTTAATATATTTTTTTTACAACCAAATTTTCAAAAACTTAAATTTTCGATAACATCTTAATTTCTACATTTATTTATTCATTAACTTTTATAACTTCATACGCTCTAAATATTGTTAAAGTCCTAATTTCCAATAATTATTCTCGATTTATCATCTCATTTATTTCTCCTGCTGCTGGTGCTGGTGGTGTTCTCCTGCTGAGTTTGTGTTCTCCGATGCCGCTGCTGGTGTCCTTAGAGCCGTTGGCGCCACCACAGGTGTAGCCGGTTCCATGGTGTACATATCTCTGAGTAACCTTGCAATGGGTACATTTCCAATTGTCTCTTTAAAGAACAGACTCTCAATTGTACACGCTCGTATGGAACGCAACGAGGGCAAGAGCAACAAAAGACGACCAAATCGTGTTGCTTGTCGTGGATAACGAATACGTACATGATCGGAGAGTATACATTGAGCTTGATCTTGTAGCATTTCAACGGGTTGTATGTCACACAACCCTGCAACTTCGGGTGTAAACAAAGCGATGGCCTTCATGCAGCCAACTTCACTGCCATCGGGGGCGATTTGTCGGAAACGCAGTAGGATCTCTTGGATTGTTTTCATCTCCATGTCTGTGGTTTCGTCTTGTGGCAAACGTTCCTTGATCATGGCCGATTCGAAAATTGGATTTAAATCCAAAGGTGTTATCCATTGGGCCAGATTGAGCAGGAATAACTCTTTCCACGATTCCTGCAAAGAGAGAGAGAGAGAGAGAGAGAGAGAGAGAGAGGGAAAAATAAATTTGATTAAAAAAAGGGCAAAAATTGGAAAAAAAAAAAAAAAAGTAAAAAATTTTGAAATTGAAAAGATGGTAGTTGGGAAGTAAGGTATCGGATTTTTTTTTTATAAATAAGTTACAAATTAAGAAAAGAGCGGAATTTATAGTTTAATACGAAAAAACACAATACCATGTATTTATAAAAAAAATCGATTGTAGGTTAGAGAGAAGATATGATAAAGTAATCGCCTCAATTGCTACGTGACCGGCAAATAGAACAGACGTTGAGATGAAAAAACTGCCAGCAACTCCAGGCTGCTGTCATTTCTAAGCCACTCGTCCGACAGTTGTTAAAATTATTCCAGTGACAGCTGATAATATTGTTTACAGGCGGACAAAGGCATTTTGGGGAGAATTTTCCAGAAAAAAAGTTATTCGTGGCGGGAATTCAAGCGGGGTAGTGAGATTTCTTTATATTTGGCTGGAGAACCACAAGTGGCTATCGCTAGAGCTCTTTAGCATTTAAATGTGAATAAATCTTTTGGATCTCGTACTATCGCTCGTTACCGCTCGATACTGTTAGCGTAGCCCGACGTCAAGGAAGTGAACGGAAGAATACAGCAACATCAGCAGAAATGATTCGAAAATTAAAAAAGCTACTTGATCAAAACCCGCGTTGCAGTGGCCGAAAATGGCTCGTGAGCCGAACATATCGCAATATGCCATTCGGCAAATATTGGAAAATGAGCTCGGGGTAAAGCCATTGAAATTCCAAAAAGTGCAAGAACTTACACCGCAACAGAAAGAAAATTGACTCAAAAGAGCTAAAGAGTTGCTTCGCTTGGCCGAAAGTGGTGAAGCGCCGAATTTGGTTTTCTCCGTCTCCGATGAGAAAATGATCGGGTTAACCTGCCAAAGAGTTCAGCTGAAAATGTGCACCTTCGGTTGGCCACCAGATTCCAGAACTGAAGCGCCGGCCATGGTGATGGTGTGGGCTGCCATAACAGCCGATGATGGCTCTCCGCTCGTATTAATCGCCCATGGCATCAGAATGAATGTCGAATATTTTAGCGAAAATATTCTGGAGGGTGTAATAAAACCTTGGGCACGTAAACATTTTGGCCGCAGACCGTGGCATCAGAATAAATGCCGAATATTATCGCGAAAATATTCTGGTGGGTGTATTAAAGCCTTGGGCATGCAAATATTTTGGCCGCAGACCGTGGCATCAGAATAAATTTTATAGCAAAAATAATATTCTGGAGGGTGTATTAAAGCCTTGGTCACGTAAAAATTTTTGCCGCAGACCGTGGCATCAGAAAAAAAGGCCGAATATTATCGCGAAAATATTCTGGAGGGTATATTAAAGCCTTGGGCACGTAAACATTTTGGCTGCAGACCGTGGCATCAGAATAAATGCCGAATATTATCGCGAAAATATTCTGGAGGATTTATTAAAGCCTTGGGCACGTAAACATTTTGGCCGCAGATCTTAGACATTCCAACAGGACTCAGCACACTCAGCACGCGCCACCCAAAAATTGGTTATAAAATGAGGTTCCTCTCTTCATTTCCCGCGCACAATGGCCACGAAAATCTCCGGATACCAATCCGTTGGACTATTGTGTCTGGAGTATTTTGGAAAGCAAGGTTGCCACTAAAAATGGGCCAAAGTGTCGATCACCTCAAGCAAGCGCTTTGCCGGGAAGTGGGCCAAAAATACCGCATTCGGGCAGCGTGTGACGTTTTCATTGGCCATTTGAAGGCCATAATTCGTGCCCAAGGTGACCAATTCGAACAAATCTAAACTTATTCTAAAATCTGATGCTATTTCCGATATTTTTTGCTTTCATTCAATAAAAATTAAAAACAAAAAAATGTAAAAATTATAGCTTTTGACTTTTTGCAGATTTTTTTTATCTCACCCTGTAGACCCTAATATAACGGCTATATTCGGTATTTTTAAGATTTTAACAGAATTTTTAACGTTTTTTTTTTTTTTTTTTTTTTTTTTTTGAAATTTGCCAAATTCGTTGCAAATGGTGGAGGGTATTCAAATTTCGACCCGACCTAGGCCCAAGGTCTCTTTGGACCAAATCCGTTTTAGGACAATTGGAGTCGATCTAGCGATGTCTGTCTGTCTGACTGGCTGGTGCGTACAATAACTCTTGAAGGGAGTATCCGAAACGGTCCAAACTTGTTACATCGTAATATTTTTTTTTTTTTTTATCAACCTTAGATCGAGTTTGGAGATGGGCAATATCGATACACTCCTTCTGGTAGCTCCCCCACAAAATGTCACTGTTTTCAAAGAAAATATTTTACTGCACAGAAAGAGAAAGTATATTACGATTTTGCACCAACTTTGCAAATCCTAATTTTTGGGTCAGTGCTATGCTAGGTGCTCAAACGGACAATACCGGTCCACTCCATCAAGTACCTCCCCCACAATGGGTCAAAATTTTGAATAATTATAACTCTCACAAAATGTGATGTAAATTTCCGATTATCTTCAAATTACACAGATCACAATATTTCAATTAACCCAAGGTCTGCTATGAATATGGAATATATCGGCCCGCTACTTCTGGTAGCTCCCCCACAAAAGCTTGATATTTTCATAGAAAATATTTTACTGCACAGAAAGAGAATGGACAATGTGATTGTGCTCCAACTTTGCACATCCTCATATTTGCATCAGTTCTATGTCACGTGCGGACAATGGACAATATCGGTCCACTCCATCAAGTACCTCCCACACAAAGGGTTAAAATTTTGAATAATTATAACTCTCACAAAATGTAAGATATAAGTGTCCGATTGTTTTCAAATTACGCAAATCACAATATTATTATTAACCCAAGGTCTGGTGTGAAGATGGAAAATATCGGTCTACACCTTCTGGTACCTCCCCCACAAAGGGTCAAAATTTTGAATATCCTTGAAGCTTATAGAACGGGAAATTATCATCCGATTCCATTCAGACTTGGTACATCTCAATATTTCCATCAACACTAGATCCGTTATAAATATGGTGGAGATCGGACCATTCCTTCTGGTACCTCCCCCACAAGGGGTCAAAATTTTGAATAACCTTGAAGCTCATAGAACCGGAAATTAACATCCGATTCCATTCAGACTTGGCAAATCTCAATATTTCTATCAACACAAGATCTGTTTTAAAGATGTTAGAGGTCGGACCATTCCTTCTGGTACCTCCCCAAATAGGGTCAAAATTTTGAATAACTAAAACGAAGCCTAAAATCCAAAATAGGCATCCGGTTCTCTTCATATTTCACACATCCCATTATTTCTACTAACCGAAAGTCTGGTGTGAAGATGGAATATATCTGCGAACCCCTTCTGGTACCTCTCCCACAAAGGGTCAAAATTTTGAATATCCATGAAGCTCAGAAAACGTGAAATAACCTTCCGATTCCATTCAGGTTTGGCAAATCTCAATATTTTTATCAACACAAGATCTGTTATAAATATGGTGGAGATCGGACACTTTCTTCTGGTACCTCCCCCACAAAGGGTCAAAGCTTTGAATAGCCAAAACGAAGCATAAAATCCGAAAAAAGCATCCGGTTCTCTTCATATTTCACACATCCCATTATTTCTACTAACACATGATCTGTATAACAGCGAACCCCTTCTGGTACCTCCCCCACAAAGGGTCAAAATTTTGAATATCAACGAAGCTCAAAAAACACGAAATTAACATCCGATTCCATTCAAACTTAGCACATCTGAATATTTCCTTCAACCCAAAATCTGTTATAAATATGGTGGAGATCGGACCATTTCTTCTGGTACCTACCTCCCTCCCCCACAATTATTCTATTACAAATTTTACCTTACCTGCAACAATAGGATTTGATCCTGGCGTGACAAAGTTTGAAATGGCATCAGACACTTAACCCAACGCACGGCCATGAAGAGCAGACGCGCTGTCGTCTCCTGCAACATTTCCCACGACATGAGACGCGAATCGAGGCCAATTAATTGCTGTGGCAATGGTGGGAAGACAATGGAATTATGCATTTGATACTGAATGATTTCCTGACATTTGTCAGGACTTAAGAGCAATTCGATGAAACCGTTTTGGCGAGCTGCATACAATGCGGCGGCAGCTTGATGATGATGGGTGGAGCTTGGGCCCGTATGCATGCTGCCAGGCTGCATGGGAGGTGTGCTGGTGGTGTTGGTGTTATTCGAGGATGGTCGTATTTGGGTAAATGCCGTCAGGTGTATGGGTGAGCTGTTCCTGGCATTCGAGGCTGGCGAAGAAGCTCGTGAGCTGGCCCCAGCCCCATTGGGGTTATTGTTGTTGTTGCTATCGTTGTTGTTGTGGCTTAAATGCATTTGATGTAAACTTAAATTGCGATTGCTGAAGGATGAGTTGTTGTTATTGTTGTTGTTGTTATTGTTGCTGGAATTACTGCTACTCCGACTACCAAGACTCTGTGGCAAACTATTCAATGTTATGGGCGAATCGGAGGTGTTGGTATGGTTTGTTGTTGTGTCCCCGGGCGACAATGGCTCCTCCGGCTGGCCCTGTGAAATATAGCCCGGCGACAGTGGTGGTGGTGTTGCCGATGGAGTTTCAGTTTCCACATTGACTCGCGGCGACTCGGAATGCAACGATGACCTGCCACCCACCGAGGAAATCGATTGTATGGAGGCCGTGGGTGATGGCGACGAATAGCTGTGGACCATGGCAGCCTTGCTGTAGAATTCAAGGCTGGTGGTACTACTGGCCGCCCCATTGCTGCCCGCCGAAGAGGCTTCTCCACGACTGTTATTGGTTAGATCATAGGTGGCCACTGGGAGGGAGGATTGCCCAGAAGTCGGCGCATTGCCACCACTCAAACTTACCGCTGCACTGGCTGTGGCCGCTGTCAAGCCGGGCAACTTACTGGTGGCCTCGGCAATGAGATTGTGATGCATGTGCGGCAGCAGGTGGGGTGGAAAGGGTAAGGGGGGTGGTGGTATGGCATGGCCACCATTTGCCGCCGCCGCCGCCGCATGGCCAGGATGATGAAATGCCGTGGGATGGCTGGCCGAATGATGAAAACCTCCAGGATGATGGGTGGATATGTGCGAGGTGTAATTAAACGAGGCCGATACATTGGTCACCAGGGAGACGGGCAGGTGTCCGGCATGTGGATGATAGGCAGCATGGGGATGGCCAGTCAAACCATTCAAATGATGATGGCCATGATGATGGTGATGATGATGGGCTGCCGGATGCTGATGCAACTGGGGATGGAGTTTGGGTTTTCGGGGGCCCCGCTCATGTTGAACCGCTGGAAGGAAGGAAGGAAGGAAACGGATTATTCAAAACTTCACATTCTCCCCAACATATGTTAATTTCTCAACATCTTATCATTATTTTCAAATTAACTTTGATTCTCAAATCCCAAATCGTTTCCAAAATTTTTAACCAAAACCCCACCTCTCCACGATTCCGCCACAAAAAAAACAGCTTATAATTACAATTTTATGCTTGAATGGAAACTGACAAAGTTTTCAAGGAATTTGGTTTTCTTTACACAATTCCCCCTCCCCCATCCCCCCCTAAACCTCTTTCTAATACTCCTCTGATTTGAAAAAATCCAAGAGGGTTGATTCATTTACTGCTGCTGACTTTGCGCAACAAAACCATGGAGACAAACACACCCACATTCTGGCGCCAAGCAAAGGCGGAGAAAGTTCACACAAAGGACCTGCTGTAAAGACACAAAATCGTTGCCTTCTCAGAGCAAAAAAAAGGAAAACAAAATGGCGCTGAGGTTTGAGTTTTTGATTTTCCGCTGTATACTTGGTTAAGTACACCCCCCACCCCCCTCTTGCCCTCTCGCCATTTCCACTCTTTGCCACTTTTGCTTTTAAGTTTCAAATTTGCATCTAACTTGGGCAAATGTTTGCTCTTGCCAGACATGTTCAGAGGTTGAAAAGGGGGAAAAGGGTGGGGGGGGTAACTGATGACAATTTTGTGTCTATGCAAATATTTGGCTGGAAGGGAAACTTTTTAATTTTATCCTTGATTGAAAAAGTAAGATTTTTTCCATCGCCTTAATGGAATGCCGGAAACAAGTTCTGTCAAAGGATGAAAGGAATTAGGTAGAAGGCTAACCTCAAAATCTTAGAAGTCATTTGGGTACTTTTGAAAATGGGAAAGAAGATTTCAAGAAAGGAAATTTTTAATATCCAAGATGCAGATTTTATGCTCCAAATCCTGGGAAATTAGGAATTACGCGGAAGAACCTTAGAAGTCATTGGTATACCTTATTGGAGATGGGAAAGAATATTTTGGGAACGGAACTTTTTCAAACCTGCATAGACAATTTTCTGTCACAGACTGTAGATCCCATTACGAATTTTAAATACGTAATTTGAAACAATTCCGGTGAATAATGACGATAAAATCATCAAAATACCGAATATAGGGAGGTACTGATATATGGGTCCCATACGAAGACCTGGACCTGCATAGACAATTTTTTGTCTTCGGCTGTGCTATCCATTTCGAACTTCAAATGCCAAATTTAAAACAATTCCGATTAATAATGTCGCTAAAATCATCAAAATACCGAATTTCGGGAGGTACCCTTATATGGAGGCTATATGAAGACGTAGACCTGCACAGACAATTTTCTGTCTCAGGCTCTAGTATCCATCACGAACTTGAAATACCAAATTTAAAACAATTCCGGTGAATAATGTCGCTAAAATCATCAAAATACCGAATATCGGGAGGTACCGTTATATGGGGGCTATATGAAGACGTAGACCTGCACAGACAATTTTCTGTCTTAGGCTGTAGTATCCCTTTCGAACTTCAAATACCAAATTTGAAACGAAACGCATCACTTGATAAGTGACCAGCAAATAGAACAGACGTTTATACATTTTTACAGAACCCCTAATTCGTAAAATTTTTCAAGACCGATTTTTGGATTCAGATTAGGCGGAAGCCTAACCTTAAAATCTTAGAAGCCATTGGGATACAATATTTGTAATGGATATTGACATTGATTTTAATATCGAAGGCCGGCTACTTATTAAAGTTATAAAATTTGGAAAAAATATGGATTGTGTACCCGGTGTTGGACATACCACAGAAGAGGAAATCTCAAGCCCCGGCAGATATAGTTATAGCTTCCATATATATGTTTCATCATATTTAAATATATTTTGACTTCTGTTATAATTATTCAAACTCTTGACCTTCTATGGAGTGGGTTCTGAAGAAATGGGCCAATATTGTCCATTTCATATGGGACCTAAATAAATACGATATTAATACGATATACGATATAAACTTAATCATAAAATCCGTATTCATCCCAAGATTCTGGTGGAGAGAAATATTTAGATACAGCAAATTGTAAAGAATCGCTGACCTGTTTCTCAAGTTATGACAGATAAAAGTATTGAAAATTATGACCCTTTGTGGGTGAGATACAGATATGTACAGGGCGATATACAAAATCTGCAACAAAGTCAAACGCCATAATTTTTTACAATTTTTATTTAAATTTTATTGAATGAAAGCGAAAAAATATCGGAAATTTTAGAATAAGTTTTGATTTTTTTCGAATTGTTCACCTTTGACATGAATTATGACCTTCAAACGAATTATGACCAATGAAACCGTCACACGCTACCCGAATTTTGCTCTGCAGTATTCTAGCCCATTCCCGGCGAAGTGCATGCATGGGGTGATCGACACTTTGGTATTTTTTAGTACCAACCTTGCTTTCCAAAATATTCCCTACACAATAGTCCAACAGATTGGTATCCGCAGATTTTGGTGGCCATTGTGTGCTGGAAATGAAGCGAGGAACCTCATTTCGTAACCATTCTTGGGTGGCGCGTTCTGAGTGGCTGAGTCCTGTTGGAATGTCCAAGCTCTGCGGCCAAAATTTTTGCGTGCCCAAGGCATACATCCTCCAGAATATTTTCGCGATAATATTCGGTATTTATTCTAATGCCACGGTCTGCCGCCAAAATGTTTACGTGCCCAAGGCTTTAATAAACCCTCCAGAATATTTTCGCGATAATATTCGGCATTTATTCTAATGCCACGGTCTATTAATACGAGCGGAGAGAGACCATCGGCTGTTATGGCGGCCCACACCATCACCATGGTCGGCGCTTGAGTTCTGGTGGCCAAACGAAGGTGCACATTTTCAGCTAACCTCTTTGGCAAGTAAAAACTATCATTTTGTTTGTTTACAAACTGCAGGACAACGAATGTTTTCTCATCGCAGACGGAGAAAACCAAATTCGGCACTTAACCACTCGGCACTCGGCCAAGCGAAGCAACCCTTTAGCTCTTTTGAGTCTATTTTCTTTCTGTTGCGGTGTAAGTTCTTGCACATTTTGGAATTTCGAACTTCAATGGCTTTACCCTGAGCTCATTTTTCAATATTTGCCGAATGGAATATTGCGATATGTTTAGCTCACGAGTAATTTGCACTTCTAGTATATACAATTTGAATGTATTTTTCTTGAAATCGATTAAACCTAGGTATACGCTTTATTCTGAAAGTTATAGTGAAATTTTGTGTAGAATATTCTTTCCTTTGACAACTTTTGCATAAAATGAAGTTCTATGTTACTTTGAAGGGCCAAGTCAAAAGAAGGCGGAAGAAAAATTGATCAACAAAATCAAGAAATATTTTCTACTTTTTTTCAACAATTTTTATTTATTTTTTTTTTTTTTTTGGATATAGAGTGGAAATATAGTTTTCTTTCCTATGATGACTTATAATTAAATTTGGTGGAGAATATTTTTTTCTTTGACATCAACCTTCTAAAAAGATGTTTTGGGGGAGTATTTTGCCAAAACTCTGTACAATACGTCATTAACCCAAAAATATCTCTTCAAAAAATACGAATTAGTTAAGTTTAGCTAAGATTAAGACTCTTATCGCCTTCTAGGACCTATAGTAGAATGTTATGATAAATAATTTTGTAGAATATTTCACTTGCTATAATTCCGCTTACAAGGAGTTTATATCGATTATTTGAAAAAAAGGACTAAAAAAGACCCCTTTTGTTGACTCGTTTGGGGGAGTAATTTTTCAACCAAAATATTCCTCTTATTTTTTTCTTCCTTGTTGCCATAGCCACAATTTATCCGAAAATCAAGGGATACCAAAAAATCTTAAATTCGAAAATTCCCGCAAGAAGTTGTATTGGGGATGGAACTTGTCCCATCTATTCAGGTTACTTCGCAATCTAAGCTTCCCAAACACGTGTGTCTCCTATTTTTAGCTCCACTTTCATAATCATCTGGATTTTCCCTATAATTTCGGAAAGATTTTGAATTTTTGTCGCACTGTGTAATCAGTGATAAATTGTTGTTGTAATCTCTTTTCATTTCCAAAAAAAAAAAAACAAGAAAATGCATTCCTTATCTCCTAAAAGAACCTAAATTTCGTGGTTATTCTTTTGAAACCCAAACCGAAAAACAAATTAAATTCCATTTTAAACAGCATCCAGTAAAGATCCAAATTTTTTTCGAAATATTCCCAAAAAAAATTTTGTCTTTTCAAAATTTGTGGAGCATTTGCATATTGGTTTTAAATTTCCTGATAACCGCCCATGGACTGGGATATTGTGACCTAAATACCACCACAAATCCAAACTGTACTCCCTTAAAGCTAATACAACAGTCCATGGATGCCAGTGTGGACCCCTGTGTGAATTTCCATGGTTATGCTTGCAACAATTGGTCCCATACCCATCAAAGCATGGCCGATTTGCTGGATGATCAGATGAATCGGAAACTGATTGCTATCATGGAAGACATGAGTGAGGAGAGGCTGCGTACGGATTTCTTCAAAACGAAACCTATGTTTATTATCAGTCTTGTTTGGGGGCAAAGAACGATGGTGATCTTCGAGGTTATCTCGACATCATCAGACCGGGAACAAAAATTTGGAATTGCCAATTTTGGTGAATTCAGGAAACGTTAATGCTACCCAGTGGCCGGCTGACAGATTTGATTTTTTGCAGTTACTCGCTGAGCTGTTGGATAATGGAATCGTCGACTGGTTCCTACAATTCCAGTTCACCGTGGCGCCCGACACATCTGTGGCTATTTTGATAATGCCCTCGGATGCTGCTAGGCTAATGGAAGAAGAAATACCCATCAAAGCATGTCCGATTTGCTGGATGATCAGATGAATCGGAAACTGATGGCTATCATGGAAGATATGAGTGAGGAGAGGCTGCATGCGGATTTCTTCAAAACGAAACCTATGTTTATTATCAGTCTTGTTTGGGGGGGCAA